TGCACAGACCATGTTTTCAGGAGGACTTTCTCACTTCAACATAGATTCTAACTACTTTCTACCCGCTGATCACAGCTAATATAGACACATTGTTCCAGGTAAACAAAGGATAGGGTAGCTCCGCCCATCACGCATCAAACCCACTTTCCATCGCGCAGCTAGAGCAGCAAAGATGCTTCAGCCGTGCGTCAGGACTAAACTTGTACAGGCATCAAAAATTCTCCTGCTCCTGCAGCAGGAGTCCTGCTGCACACCGTCTGAACGCAGCATTAGAACCGCTGAGTTCCAGCAGCGGCTGGAACAGAACCAGGAATGGATCCTGAGTCCGGTCGGTTTCCACTGTTTAAATTAACTTCTTTTAGTAGTTTTGTTAGGAAGTTTAAGTTTACTAAGTTCTAACGTAAAATGGTTTAACTTTTCTGCCGTGCCTGGAGGATGTTTCTAACAGCGGGAAATGAGCGCAGTACATGGAGAAGGATTTATGACATCACCATGTTCATAACGGGCCCTTTTTGGTTTATTCTGTCCGTTTTTAACACAGCCGGAACAATAAAGAGTTAAGATATCATTTTTCTTTTGAATTCAACATATTCTAAAAAACAAAGTTTAGCCCTTCTGTTGCCATGAGAGATTAATCATTAGTCATTCAGCTTCAGATTAATTCATCAATTGTTTAATTGCACCGACACATTCATCACTGATCAATAAGAATCAGTCTCTGCACCCTTAGTCTCAGCAAAGCTTTTATCTGAAACAGACTCAATAAAATGCTGGAAATCCACCAATTAATGACAAGTCGCCCACAGAGGGAAATAAAAACATTTTAAGGCGTCTTTATGGCCGTTTTAAACTAGCCTGATAAACCAGACTAAATGTGAGATTAAATGTGTTATTTAGTCTGATGAATGAGACATTGGAAGATTGTTGATGAAAACAACCCGTTGTCTTTCAAACCATGTCTGTGCCTATTGGCCAACGCTCTGACCAATGAGCGCAACCGACGTAGTAAACGCGACAGAAAGCTGCTGGGGAGTGGAAACAAACAACCTGTTGGTAAAATGGCGAACACGTCCTTCTTAAAACTGAATGAGCGTAGAGCTTCTTCCTGCTCACGTTTCAACGAAAACCCAAAGTCTAATCCTTCCAGAACTGAATCCAAAGCTGAGTCAAATGAGAACTCTTCAATAGTTGTTGCCATCTTCCTTGTTGTGCTTCTTCAGCGTTTCGCAGCTTTGTCGTCACTAGGGGTGTGCAAAATAATCGTCATGACGATGCATCGCGATTCTAATTTTTGTGATCTACTGCATCGATTCTTGATACCAAGTATCGATTTTTATTTTGAAAAATGAATAAATAAAATACGTGAATGGTTGGCGCACACCAGCCAAAAGTAACGTCCAGTCCAGTTGATGTCGCTGCGGATGTGTTGACGCCTGCTGCCTCGTGTCACAAGCATTTCCGGCCGCTGGATACTGCTAGGAGTCATTCATAAACAAAACATGGAGGAATATTCGCCCCGCGGCTCCATCACGTTTCAAGTCAGATGTTTGGATGCATGTTGGCTTTAAAAACAAAGAAGGTAAAAACCAAATTGAATTTGAAAAAGGGGAAATATACATTTGAATGTTTTCGTTTCATTGGTTTAAAGGATCACTGAGGCCATGTAAACGGCACTGATTATCCTCATTTTATTATTTTAAGTTTTATAAATGCTAAGCACTTTTTGTCAGTGTGTCCACACCAGTAACAGTAAAATTTGCTTCCAGTATTTGTTGTCATGGCAACACCTCCAAAAGTCATTTTAATAAATACAGCTATTTATGAATTCAGTTGTTTTCAGTTATTTATCCATTGAAGACACGATCCAGATCACACTCAGCCAGTCAGCCACTGGTAAGGGCTGGATCTTTTTCTTACAGTGTTAAGTGAAAATATCGCGATGCATCGCAATATTTCAAGTATCGTGATGCATCGCGATAGAATCGCATCGTAGCATGTGAATCGTGATTCGAATCTAATCATGACTTATTTGGCAATACCCCCCCTAGTCGTCATGCCCTTAAAACCCCGCCCACTTTGCATCCAGAAATTAAGAACAAATCTCTGCGTTGTGATTGGCCCGCCAGTTCCAGGGCCTGGGGCATTGATCTGGGCTAGACAACTCGTACGCAAAAATGATTTTGGCCGCTGGCTGTTGGGGCTTTTCAAGGCTTAGAAGTATTTTTTAAAAGCTTGATTAAATACAGCAAGTGTTTTTAATTTCTTCAAAACAAAGAGACATTTTTTAGGGTCTAAAATGATTTATACATTTTCGCTCGCTGGAATAAATCTGTAGGCTTTATTTCAGTGAAATGGGTTTTATCTGCCCCCACAGTCCTTCCTCCCCCCAAAGGGAACCATTACTCACCATAAACTTCTGAACGCTGATGGGGAAGGTAGCAGAGTAGAGCAGGATCTGCCGGTTCTTAGCCAGGAAGCTGATGATGTCCTCGATGAGGACCACAAAGTCCTGAGAGAGCAGTTTGTCGGCCTGCGGAGGAGAACGGGGAACGTTCAACACGCCGTTCAGGGGACAAGCTAAAAACGGGTTGGGATCACGTTTACCTCGTCCATCACCATCATCTGGACCCTGTCCACCTTCGCCACCCCCTTTTTGATCAAGTCCAGGATCCGACCGGGCGTGGCGATGACCACATGTACTGAAACCATAGAAACGTGTTAACGGGGCGCGGCTGCAGGGAGGAACCCGCCGGGTTGCGAGGACCCTTACCAGTCTCATCCAGACGCATGATGTCGTCCCGCAGGTTGGTTCCCCCGGTCGTCGCCATGACTTTCACTCCTCCCAGATGTTTACTGAGCTGGATGCAGATCTGACTCATCTGCAGAGCCAGCTCCCGCGTGGGCACCATGACGATGGCTGCAGCAGACACCGGAGAAACATCAGCCAAGCTTCAGCGGGTCAGAGGAGCGACGGAGCGGCAGGACTCACCCTGTATGTGGTCCTTCTTCAGGTCTATCCTCTCCAGCAGCGGGATCAGGTAGGCTCCGCTTTTCCCTGTTCCGTTTTTGGCTCGAGCCAGGATGTCCCGCCCCGACAGCGCGATAGGAATGCTCTCCTCCTGCAGAGGAACCGACAGGGTCAATGAAAACCTTAGACATGTTCAGACTACAGCCTGATGTGAAGCATGCAGCTCAACTGAAGAAAACATTTTAAAATAAACTGAAAAAGTGAAGCAGGTAAACTTCATCTATCAGCTGTGAAGCCTTGAATAAATAATCTGGGCGGCAGCGTGCTTTCCTCCTGTTTCTTTGTGCACATGGAGCAGGTTTTACTGCAGCCGGGGCCAATGCCGGCCCGCCTGCAACGCCGGCCCCTTCTCCCCGAGTCCACATTTTCCTAGCTTATTCTCAAGAACGTACTTGGCGAGGAAACAGGTCCGTACTCACGCTCTTGTGAATTGAGGAACAGCCTTTTTAATTGACGGAAATTAACAAATATTGTTATATGTTCCGGTTTGATGCTATTCCAGTATAACCTGACTCCGCCAGATGGATTTGCTCCGCAGATCCATCTGGAAACCTTCCGCTGAAGTAATTCTGGGAAGGGG